AAACTTAGTGAGAAAATTAAAAAAAGTAAATTGGAATAACTTTTACAGTTTTCAACCATTTTCAATGATTCTTTTTTTGGCTGAAAGCCTATATATTTGCAGTTAGCTTTAACATTAATTAAATTTTTTCCAATGTATGGAACATCATTTTTTGCGGCCCCCAAGTTTTTGACTAAAGTAGCTCTTATTTGAAAACGATAATAGATATTGATTTCAAACTTTTTGCATGTTACTTGTATTTTTATTCCCTTTGTAACAACATACAATAATATGGGGTTCATTCATAAATTTTGACCAAAATTTACTAAAACAGCTCTCATTTGAAAACGATAATAGATATTGATTTCAAACTTTTTGCATGTTACTTGTATTTTTATTCCCTTTGTAACAACATACAATAATATGGGGTTCATTCATAAATTTTGACCAAAATTTACTAAAACAGCTCTCATTTGAAAACGATAATAGATATTGATTTCAAACTTTTTGCATGTTACTTGTATTTTTATTCCCTTTGTAACAACATACAATAATATGGGGTTCATTCATAAATTTTGACCAAAATTTACTAAAACAGCTCTCATTTGAAAACGATAATAGATATTGATTTCAAACTTTTTGCATGTTACTTGTATTTTTATTCCCTTTGTAACAACATACAATAATATGGGGTTCATTCATAAATTTTGACCAAAATTTACTAAAACAGCTCTCATTTGAAAACGATAATAGATATTGATTTCAAACTTTTTGCATGTTACTTGTATTTTTATTCCCTTTGTAACAACATACAATAATATGGGGTTCATTCATAAATTTTGACCAAAATTTACTCAAACAAAATTTTCATACGAATTTTTCAAATTTTTTCTTTGATTTTTAATAGAAATACAGGAATAATAAAACGAAAAACTTTTTAATACTTAAATTTTGAGATTTATTTAATTTTATAATAATATACAAATTAAATTTATTTAAATTTAAATTTAATTTATATAATATCCTAACGAACGTCGTATCACAGCTGCAAAAAAGAAAGATCTTCTTGATCTACTTCCTTATATACCGCTTGAATATTACAACTTTTATGAAAATTTGGGGTCTTTAGACAATGATGAAGAATAATTTTTTAAACTTTCTTATTTTTACTATCTTTTTAATAATAAATCTCAAAATTTAAGTATTAAAAAGTTTTTCGTTTTATTATTCCTGTTTTTCTATTAAAAATCAAAGAAACTAGTGTATCGGGTAGAAACCCAATGCGGATATATTCACACCGTACCATCAAAAGTCTTATGGATAGACCAAGATTTGCTTAGCATAAGTTTAAAGGTATAATGCTAGCGAAGCAGCTGAGCTTCGCTCAGCAAAAGTTTGAAGGTTTAAAGCTTAACGAACATTCTTTGAAAGATTTTTAAAATTTTTTTTTCATCCAAAGTTTAATTTAAAAAATACACAGTGAACTTTTGTTTTGAAAAATTCGTAAGAAAGGAAAGTTTTTTGCTTTTTCTGAAGCAACGGCTGTTCCTACCTTGCCCAAAAACAATACAGCTCTTCTATAGAGCAGCACGGATCAAATGTAAAAAACTAGAAGTCTCTACGATGTCTCGTTATTGAGATTTCTTGCTGATTAACTTGCTTGCTTGCTTGCTTGTTTGTTTGCTTACAGAAAGCGTATTTTGCGATTTTCTCAGCAATGCCGAAACCAATTTGAAATCTGTTTTTTGCAAAAGATGTGAAATTCCAGGCACAAACTTTTCATCTCTGAACATTTTAAGCTATTTTGCTCCATATCCTCACAAAATTCAAAAAACTGATTTTTCAATCTGAACAAAACCAATAGATTCACACGTGAAAACGGTGACTGAATATAAAAATTTGAAAAATTCGTATGAAAATTTTGTTTGAGTAAATTTTGGTCAAAATTTATGAATGAACCCCATATTATTGTATGTTGTTACAAAGGGAATAAAAATACAAGTAACATGCAAAAAGTTTGAAATCAATATCTATTATCGTTTTCAAATGAGAGCTGTTTTAGTAAATTTTGGTCAAAATTTATGAATGAACCCCATATTATTGTATGTTGTTACAAAGGGAATAAAAATACAAGTAACATGCAAAAAGTTTGAAATCAATATCTATTATCGTTTTCAAATGAGAGCTGTTTTAGTAAATTTTGGTCAAAATTTATGAATGAACCCCATATTATTGTATGTTGTTACAAAGGGAATAAAAATACAAGTAACATGCAAAAAGTTTGAAATCAATATCTATTATCGTTTTCAAATGAGAGCTGTTTTAGTAAATTTTGGTCAAAATTTATGAATGAACCCCATATTATTGTATGTTGTTACAAAGGGAATAAAAATACAAGTAACATGCAAAAAGTTTGAAATCAATATCTATTATCGTTTTCAAATGAGAGCTGTTTTAGTAAATTTTGGTCAAAATTTATGAATGAACCCCATATTATTGTATGTTGTTACAAAGGGAATAAAAATACAAGTAACATGCAAAAAGTTTGAAATCAATATCTATTATCGTTTTCAAATAAGAGCTACTTTAGTCAAAAACTTGGGGGCCGCAAAAAATGATGTTCCATACATTGGAAAAAATTTAATTAATGTTAAAGCTAACTGCAAATATATAGGCTTTCAGCCAAAAAAAGAATCATTGAAAATGGTTGAAAACTGTAAAAGTTATTCCAATTTACTTTTTTTAATTTTCTCACTAAGTTTGAACCGGTAAATTAACCGATAAAACCGGTTTAAAATTAATTTAATTAACATATTTTTAAAGATCAAATAAATACCTTTCCAATGATGTACAATATGTCGGCAAAATTTTGAGTTATTGAAAATATATTTAATCGACAAGCTTGAAACTGCATGAAAATGTTTTTACGACATTTTCAATATGAATTACTCATATCATCATCACTCAAATGCAATTCTACATGATCATTCATTACTAATCCAGCTTTATGAAAAGACTTCTTGGATCCAAATTTTGTATTTTTATTTTTACAAAATTTGCTGATGTGTCCTAATTCTCCACATTGAAAACATTTCACAGTTTTTGCTTTGCTTTTTGAATTATTATTGAAACTTCTTGTTACTTTCAATGCTGTCGATGAATCAATTTCAACTTTTGTCTTTCGTCGATCTGCTTCATCCAGCAATTTTGCCTTAATATCGCTGACGGTAAGTTTATCTTCATCTCTTGCCTCTAAAGCTGTAACAAGCATATCATAATCCTCATTGAGACTTGCTAGAATAATTGCCTTCACGTACTTCTCCTCAAAAACATAATTCAGATCCTTTAACTCATCAAACCATTCCTGTAAGTTTTGTAAATGCGTCTCCATATCGTGATCATCTTTCTTCAATTCAGATTTAAATAGCTTTTTTACATGTCTAGTTTTGCTGCACATTGTGGATCTCTGATGAAACATTTTTAACGTAATCCAATCTTCCTTAGCGGTTTTGTTATTCTACACATATGTTAATTGGTTGTTATCTACGCTCAATGATAAAGTATCTGGCCTTATTATCCTGCTTTTACCATTCTGCAGCTTTCTCAGCATCTAAAGGTTTCGCAGCTCCAATCACATCCCAACAATCATTTTGTACTAGCACAATCTCCATTCTGAAGCACAGCATTTTAAAGCACAGCTCAGTAATATGGGAGATAGATTTAAGCTTAATTAATTGATTTGTATAGGTTTCAAAGAGGTCTTTGGAAGACTTTTTAGCTTATGAATAGTTTAAGTTTTGTAAAAATACTCAGATTTCAATTCCATTTTTAAGGCTTAATAAGCAGATTTCTATTGAGTTGGTTGTTTTAATATGTAAAGCTAAGCTTAAATTAGCTAACAACTGCTTCCAAGACATCCAAATAACAACTTAAAGTAGAAAAATCATATTTTTTTCATACTCAAATTGTAAACAAATTTTGGGTGAGATTAAATTAATGATTTCTGGAGTTAGACAGCAAATAGGAACGAGATATTTTTAAAAGATATGCATAAAGGTAAGATCTTTAATCTGGCATTTAAAAGACAAAGTTTAATTAACATGAAATTTTTGAATTTTTGAACATTTTTTTCGATTCTGAATCATTGTGCATGCCTGATTGAACAACACTTTTGAATTGAGTTTAAGTTGTCAACAAGAATTCAAATTTCAAAACACTACAAATGTTTTAAAATTCAATTATGAAACATTTGTAGTGTTTCGATATTTGAATTAACTTTTATTGTTAAAGTTTATTAAAAAAAATTTGTAAGGTTTTGATTTTTAAATCGAAATTAGGTTTTATCTAAAATGTAATCTTGATCAGTGTTGCATTCTGGCGATTTGTCTGGATCAGATAAATTCTGAGACAGAAATTTCTTCATAAAGATCGATTCTATATGAAGATAGAAAATCTAATCTACACAAAGATTATTTCTACATAAAGAATCTGTCTACATAAAGATTCGATGTAGATGTCTAAAATTCTACATTCTTCTCTGATGTAGACCTGGAAAAAATGTAGAATTGTAGACATCTACATCGAATCTTTATGTAGAAATAATCTTTGTGTAGATTAGATTTTCTATCTTCATATAGAATCGATCTTTATGAAGAAAGTTTCTTAGCTAGACAAAAACTATTGAAGAATCTACATTCTTCATCTAGTGTAGACATCTACATTTGCAACACTGATCTTGATTAGACACAAGCTTTATTATTGACAGCTTCTGACCTTCAGTCGATGATCTGAAAATAATAAGTATAACACCAGTTTTTTTTTCAGCGAATTATACCTACTTGAAGTGCTTTATTAGGAATCAATTATATTATTACACAACGTTAGAGACATATTAAATGAGTTTTTTTATACGAATTACCATGAAGATTATTATTCTCTTAATTAAAAAATGTGAAAAATAAAAAAAAAAAGAAAAATCCGAAGACGATTTAAATTAAAATGAAAAGAAGGGTTAAAAAGCTTCAACGATAGCTATATCCATTGTCTTGATCCTGTTCACCAGGTCTATATTTTTGTTCATCACCAGACTCATACTTAACTTGTCCAGCATATTGCGAATAATCTTGCTGACTGTAATCTGGATAATCTGAAAAAGTATGAAATGGATTAGAAAGTTAATCTAATAATAGACCAAGATTATCTAATGAGTAGATTTGTTTGAAATTTATACAACTAATTGGAGGAGACTCAAAGCTTCCACTAGTCCTGGAATTTCTTAAATATTAATTAATCTAGCAAAATGTGACTTTTTCGACCAAACTTTGAAATAATTTCGATAAAAAAAAGTTTTTTGCAGGCAGGAATAAAATAAAAGTTTTAATTGCTTACCATCAATTGGTTCTTCCTTAATTTTAATATCAAAATCAGGTTTTCGTTCCTTCTTGTCCTTATCGCGTCTTCTGTCACGAGATCTAGAGCGATCACGTTTGTCACGCTTGCGTTCAGATCGATCCCTAAAAAATAAACATAATTTTTGGTCTTTTGGACATGCTGAAATAAAAAATAGCCACTTACTTCTCTCTGGATTTCGATCTACCTTCTCGGCGTCTTTTTCTATCGCGCGATTTTTCCCTACGTTCTCTCCTTTCATAACGTTCAGGTTGTGGTTGTTCCTCCTCACCTCGTGATCTATACCTACGTCTTTCCTTGGATTTTGATCTTTTGTCTCGCGAACGAGACCTTTTCCTCTCAAATCCTACACATAAAATTAGAAAAAGCGAATGATTCATTAATACCCAGCAATCAGGTGATTATTTCTTTATATTTACTTCTGTCATCACGTCGTTCTTCACGTTCCCTTTCCATCCTGTATCGTTCTTTCTCGCGAACATTATCTTCTCGTCCACTGTGCTTAATATTAACTTCATTTCCACCACGTCTAGTGCCTCCCAAACCACCACCTAAACGTCGTGGCAACCATCCTTTTACAGTACGAGCCCTTTCAACATCTACTAGAACTCTTCTGCTGTCAATCTTCTTACCGTCAGCATGTTTGTAGGCAGCTGATTTTTAGTATTTTTTTTTGAAGTGCACACATTATTTTTTGACATTGGCAAAACATTTTCAAGCAATGAAAATTTTTGGATTTAGTCAATGGATGATGGAGCAGAAAACGAAAGTAAAATGTGAATAAATAGGAAGTGTTTGAAATCATCAAGTGTGTAGATTATTTTGAATTTCTTTACGTTTTTCTTTTTTGAATTACTGGAACCTAACATGAGAACTTGCTTGAAGATTACTTTTATAGGGCTTTCCATTGATTTTATAGCTTTTTTTTTACCTTATCTTGGTTGGGTGTTTTATAAAAACAATTTAATTTAAATACCTTCAACTTACAGTTCGTTTCGGATCGTATCAAAAAAAAAAATTTAATTAAACCATGAACTTGTGAAATACCTACCCAACCAATCATATCATGTATACCTACATTAACTCTTATATTTTCTTACATATTCAACCTGTTCATTCAAGACTCGAAGTTTGGTTGTGTGCTTTACTTGTGTATTAAATGGCATTATCCGCAAAACCGGTGATTACCTGGGCGCATAAATACTTACGTACTTGCGCATACATTTCATATCACAGTTTTTTTTTTGTTTTGTTAAATTTTGAAATCATAAAAAATTTCTAAGTATGTACCATAACGTTACATCAAATATCATGATCGATATCAGTCTCTCAAAATCATACAGACATGAAAAATAAACGGAATAATTTGTGTATTGGTTTTAAAAATCATTTTGAAGTTAATAGATTAAAAAAGGTTCTTACCAAAAACACAATACAAACCTAAAGCACGGCTTAACAACTTTAATTACAGATTTTTTTTTTCTTTCTTTTTCATTTGTTTTTATATAGAGATATTTTGAGTCTTTCATTAACTTTACGTTCTTTTTTTATGGTTCTGAGTTATGCTGCATTTTTAAGATTAATGCACACGAAGTGAAATAAACTTACAAGAGACCCATCATTCAAACTACCTTAGATGAAGTTCTTCGATTTTGCATCAATTACGAAAAGTTTGGAACTACATAAATTTTATAGTGACAGACTTTATGTCCAGTTCATCAATCAATGAATGATGATTGCTTTCCATACTTTTCTTTGACACACTACGTATGATTATTTGGCGATATTTCTTTTTTAAATCATTTACTTACAGTGCATGTCTCTTTCATGTTCATACTCTATAAAAGCATAACCTCTTGCCCGATTACTTTCATTATGGATCAATATAATTTTTTTAATAGGTCCATAAGTCTCAAACTCTCTTCGCAGCTTCGATTCTGATGTGTCATAGTTCTGCAAATTACACAAATTAACATTATTTATACTTGATTAGATGATATAAGAATGTATTTCCTTACAATACGAGCTACAAACAGAGTTTTAAATGGATCTTCTGTCGTATTTTCTATACTATTGGGATCCCATAATGCAATTTCTCTTTCTAATTTATAAGCAACTTGTTCGGCCTTTTCACGTCTTCTTCTTTCAATTCGTTCCTCCTTTGTTTCGACTCGAGTTGGTGGTGGAGTATCTTTTGGATCCTAAATTGAGCAGTTACAATCATCCAGTTGAGACGCAATTTCATAAAAAAATTTAAATTAACTTAAAACTTACCTCAAATTGGTCCAAAAATGCTCCAACACCTGCATATCCTCTAGTTTTCTTCTCGTGGGGTAGTTTATCAGGCGGTGGAAGGTACTTAATAGGTTCTCTCGCCGCAAATAATGCGAGTAAATTTGCAGGCAAGAATTGTGTCATTTTCTTGACGTTCTTACTGCTATATTTATGTTAAAAATGTTCGTTGCTTGCTGATCTCAAGATCTATCTACTTTATAATCACTCTTATCCACGTTTAATTTGTTAATTTTGATAAAATATCAAGACGAAAAGTTTATTGTTTAGCTTTAAAGTGAAACTTTTCAGCGAGAAGCGCTTAATTTTCGTAATTTTTTGAATCTCAATTTTCCGTTAAATAATTTTTACCTTCAAAATCCTTATTTAAACTATAAACTCAATTTATACCGTAATCTAAGTCTAAATCATTTTATTTATTGTATAATCAGATTAAATTAAACTATGACAAACAATTCATGCCTTATAATGAATGGCTTCATGCAAGCGCAATTCTGCCTTTAAACGGAAGGATTCTCCACAATTGTCATACTTGCAGAAGTGAACTCTGTCATGTCCATAATGCTGTCTTAAATGTTTAAACAAATCATTTGATTGAGAAAATGCACGATCACATCCTTCAAAAGTACATTCGTGTGGCTTAACTGTAAGGAAATATGGAATTAATGACATATGATAAGTTTATACAAGTTTAAGACTTACTTTTAGTGTGAGTGAGCATGTGACGTTTAAGGCCGTCATTTTTGAGGAACTTCTTGCCACATCCTTCGAAACAACAGTGATATTTGTAGTTTAACTTGCTAGGATCATGAAAAACTTTATGCCGCAAGAGATTTCGCTTTGCCTTGAATATTTTTGGACATCCAGGAAAGTCGCAAGGAAAAGTATACTCATTAGAATGTACAGACTGATGATTCCTCAAATGTGACGGTATTCTGAATGTCATTGGACACAAGTTGCATTTATACAGTTTATTCTCAGTTTCGTGGACATTTGTGATGTGATCTAATAGAAGAAATTAGGATTATTAATCAAGATTAAAAATTAAATCCTGTCAGATTAATTTAAATCTTACGATTAAACTTACTTTTCAAGCTAGCTCGTTCACTGAATGATGTCCCGCAGATTTGACAGAGATGAAGAACAATATTTTCATGCTTATGCTTAACGTGAATGTCCAGCGAATACTTTTCTAATGTTGAGAAATTGCAATCAGAATGAGGACATCTCAAAAGGGTGGATTCATCATGTCTCATCAAATGCTTTAGTAATTTAGAGCCCATAGCGAACTTTTTGTTACATTTTAGACATTCATGTGTCAAAAATTCATTATGATCTCCTGTATGAGAGTGTAGACATTCGAAATTCTTAACAACTGTATTGCAGTTAATACACACAATTAATCTCTCGTCCTGATCGAAATCTTTAGTGTGGAAAGGAAGATGATCATAGAGTTCATTTTGATCGTATGTATAGAATGAACAGAGAATGCATTCAAACTTAACTGGATCTCTATTTTCAGCTAAATAGTCACAATGCAAATACTGATGAAGATTAAATTCGCGTTTTGTCGAAAATTCAGCATTACAGATGTTACAGATTTTAGGTAAAACTCCATGAATATCTTTTCTGTGTCGTCTCAAACGATACTCATTTGTGAATGTCTCGAAGCATTTATTGCACGAATAAGTTCGTTTCTCATTCTTATGGACAATTTCGTAATGTTTCCTGACAGAATCTTCATCATCATATGTTTCCATACAAATAGAACATGATTTATTCTTTACATCAGAGTCTCTCAAGTGATCCAGCACAATGTGATGCTCAATTTTCGATTTAGTCTTGAACTTTTCCATGCAAATTTCACATTCATAATTATTCTTTTCTTGCTTAACACGCATCGCGTAATCTAAAACATCCTCAGAGTTCAACTCAATTTGATGCTCCAGAAATACATGTTTTGTGAACAAGTCCTCTTCTAGGAATCTTTTATTGCATTCCTTACACCCAAACTGTAACTTTTTATCGTCATGCTCAAAGTCGTAGTGATATCTTAAAAGATTATTGGATATAAATGTTTTCCGACAGTAAAGACATCCTTTCTCTTTCTCCCTCTTAATGCTCCTTCTACTGGATGTTTCTCGTCTATAAATTTCTTCATCATCCATCGATTCATCGCTGTATTCCTGCTTTGTTTGAACAGCTCTTCTAGCTGCTGCTCGTTTTTCAGATCTACTGCGTCTTGAAGACTTGTTATGTTCCATAAATGGCTCTTCATCATTATCTGACAATCTATCAATGACAACGGATACATTCTGTAGATGAAAATGGTCGTAGTCTTCATCCTCAGATTCTTCCTTTTCAATTTTTATACTTTGTAAAATTGGCTTCTTGTCAATTCTTTGACTTTTATTGTTATCAATGCTATATCTACGCAATTCTATTGCCTTTACGATAACTTCGAAGCAGTCATAACATACAAAACAGCTCATTTGGTCATTAAATTCACAAATCACTTCCTTAATTTCTGGAATAACTTCTACAATCATCTCCGATATTAATCTTTTGTTCTTATACTCATATATATAAAATAGGTTCTCTGAATTCTTTAAACATAATCTGCATCCTTCCATCTTGCCTGGATCCTTTTTTTTAAATTAATTTATATTTTTTTCTAATTTCTAGTTTGTTTATAACCACGACTAAGTTGCAGGTAGCCCCAAATGTCAAATGCTACAGACTTAGTTTGCAGATATAATTTAACTATGACAAGGTTTACAGATTCGATTTAAACGTTCTGTTTTATAATTAAATGCTGATTAATACTTAAATGCTGATTTTGAGTAGTGAAAGTTCAATTTGAGAATCTGTATTTTAGTGCAAACTCTTATCAAATCTTTTTTTTAAAAAACGAGTTTAACGTATTTTTACAAAACTTTGGTTTGCTAAGAACAACTTTTTAATTTAATTGATTTACAAGAAATTAAGCATTAATTAAACATACTATCCTGTGGATTTTGAAAAGACTACTTTGAGGTAGGATTCCTTTGTGAAAATACGTTGAATTACTGTATATTTACGATGAAAAACGTGTTAAAAGTAGCCGGCTTTAACTTCAACAAATTGAATAGTCTTGAAGATTTAAAACTTTTACAGTTTACAGGTAATTGTCAAACAGGTTGTGGACATAACATACTAACGCTGTAATAATACCTTTCAGATGTACAAGTTCGAGACAACAAGAATTTTCTAGTTTCTTCAGGTCCGTTCTATGACATTATCATGTTCAATGATTTGATGGAACTGGAAGTTAAATCCAGCATCCTTGACAAAATAGAGAATACAGTAAAAATAGAATGCCAAGTTAAACAAGTGATATGCTCTGAGGATAATTGTTATTTCCTTTATTCTGATGGACGAATTTCACAGTACAATGTCATGTCAAAAATCGTCTATCAAATACAGTTAAGTTTAAAGACATCAAGTGAAATCATCACTCAAATATCAGCTACTTCCAAAGCATTATATGGAATATCAAATACTAATAGTCTTTACAAAATTCTACCGGAAGTGGACTTAATTCATGAATTCCAAAAGCACCAGAGAGTCAAGAAGATGCAAAGTGGTTTAGAACATACGTTAATCTTGACAAGTAATGGCGATGTCTTCAGTTTTGGATGCTGTCTAAGAGGACAATTAGGTCTAGGAACAATGAGTGTCGATGAACCAGTGAAATTAATAGATGCACTTGGTGGAATCAAGATAATTGACATAGGCTGCTCAGCATTTTGTTCGATAGCTGTTTCATCATTTGGGGATGTTTATTCTTTCGGCTGGAATGCAAATGGACAGCTTGGAATTAAAAAGTCGACTGATAGATGTAAGCAAGTCTATTCACTTCCAGAAATCGTCGAAAGCATAGAAAATGAATTAGATCCAGTAATTAGTGTATCTTGTGGATATAAGCATACAATTTTGAGGACTGAAAAGAACAAGCTATTCGCATCAGGACTGAATAATTATGGACAGTTAGGGATTAATAAAATAGAAAATGAAATTGATGAATTTAGAGAGATTAATGTAGAAAGAATTAATGATAGTACAATTTTATGTTGTGGATATTGGACAACATATTTAATAAATTATGCTCAAAACTAACGGATTTTATGTTTTTGAATATAGTTGATAATCCCTTAGAAAAAGGTTGTCGATCCCCTAATCGGCATTTTGTCAACAAAACAGAAAATAATAAATTAAAGTACTTTAAAATGAAGTTTGTGAGTATTTTACAGCTATTTCTTGTTCCTGACTTAATTTAACAATTATTCTCTTTTATAGTATTGCCTTAGTAATGATCCTGTTCATGCCTGTTATGTTCTTTCATTTAAAGAATTGATGATTATGTTGGATTGTGGTATGTTGCCTTTAATACATTAATTAATGAGTTTTAAGCTAATTTGATATATTGTTTCAATATTAGGACTTGTAATGGAGACAGTTTTGAACTTTCTTCCTTTGCCACTTGTTCAGAGCTCAAAATTCTCGACATGCTCAAACTGGAACCACCCAAAACTGAATGACGGTGAATTAAAGAAAGCTGGAAATAACATATTTATAGACTCATCACCAGAATTTCAGCCACCTCTTGCAAAAATCATTGATTTTTCTGAAATAGACGTAATCTTGATCTCAAATTACATGAATATGTTGGCACTGCCATACATCACTGAAAAGACAAATTTTAAAGGAATTGTTTATGCTACAGAACCAACATTACAAATTGCAAGATTCTTCTTAGAAGAGCTTGTTGAGTATATTGATACAACGCCTAAACCAAATCAGGCAAGCAAATGGAAAGAATTCTCAGAATTTCACAACCTGAATAATCTCAATTTAGAACTACATCCTTTAAAATGGAAGAAGCTCTTTACATTAGATGAAGTCCACAAGTCATTGTCACGCGTACAAATTGCTGGATTTGATCAAAAGATTGATGTATTTGGAGCACTGGAAGTGAAACCTGTAAGTTCTGGATATTGTTTAGGAAGTGCCAATTTTGTGTTATCAACTGGTCTCGAAAAGATATGCTACATCAGTGGATCATCAACTTTAACAACACAAGCAAAGCCAATCAATCAAAATGCTCTGAAAAATTCTGATGTGATTATCATGTCTGGACTTACTCAAGCACCACATATTAATCCTGATGCTATTTTAGGGGATTTATGTTTGAATGTCGGTAAGATTAAAACAACAAATATTTTCATTTATTTTATTTTATTGATTAAACTAAAATAACTATAATTTACAGTCTTGACACTAAGGAACAATGGAACAGTATTGATTCCGTGCTATCCAAGTGGTGTGATATATGATTTGTTTGAGATTCTATCACAAAAACTAGATGATAGCGGATTATCAACTATTCCAATGTACTTTATATCACCTGTTGCTGAGCACTCTCTGGCTTATTCCAACATCTTGGCAGAGTGGCTGTCAAGTACAAAGCAAAATAAAGTCTATATACCCGACGAGCCATTTCCTCATGCCAATTTAGTCAAGAATAATCGCCTCAAATTCTTCAAACACATTTATTCAGAAGGTTTTAGTGCTGAATTCCGACAGGTATGGTTCTAAGTGATAAATATATAAAGGAACAGATTAATATTTAATTAATTTACCTTTTTAAGCCATGCGTCATCTTCTGTGGTCATCCAAGTCTACGATTTGGCGATATTGCACATCTAATTGAGCAATACGGAAGCAACTCAAATCATACAATAATTTTTACGGAACCAGATTTTCCATTTCTTCAAGCACTAGCACCATATCATCCACTAAACATGAAAGTCGTTTATTGTCCAATAGAAACGTCACTTAATTTTCAACAAGCGAATAAGTTAATTAAGGATTTAAAAACTGAGGTGTTAGTCATTCCAAAAGTATACACAAATCCACCAAATATAGCACCTAATCGTGATGATTTAGTCATTGATAGACAAATTGCAAAACAAATAATTACATTCAAGTGCGGTGACTGCATTAAACTTCCATTAAAGCGCAAGAAGAATCAAGTATTTGTTGATCCTGATGTTGCACTGTCTGTAATTCCACAAGAAGTGATGAATGGAGTAAAATTAGCACCACTTTCAGGCATATTGGATGTAAAAGATAACGTCTATAATATTCGTAGTGTTGACATGAATTGTATTGAAGGAGTTCCAAAGCAGTTACTAAATAGTTTGTTTAAGAAGCAAGTATCTTATGAGTATGGAACAATGAATCAAATGGATATTGACATGTTTCTCAACAAGTTGAAGCAGGAAGGAATTACAGACATAAAAACGTCACAGACAAATGAAAATGATGGAATTTTAACGACAAAAATTAAGTTAATTAATGAAGATATTTCTATTGACATTTCGGACAAAGGCACTCACATTCATTGCGGTGAAGGCAAGCAAAATTTGAGAATTAAAATACGCGATGCACTTTTGTCTTGCCTTAATAAGTTCTAAAAAAAAATCCATCTCTCGCACTGAAATCACAATAACTGTAAATATTTACACAATAACCGACCACAAGACACACTCAATTATTAATTATTTTTGAATAAATTTATTAGAAATTGTTGCTTTATGCTTTAAATTGTCACAATATTTTATGTGGAATAAATTTCTCTTTTTTTGAGTACATTAATTATTTTCTTGTTGTTTGAATTCACTTACGTTATTTATTTATTGTATGTAGGTTCGAGCATGTAGCTACTAAAACTCATACTTATTCATGAATAAAATGCACATTCAAATTTCATTATTTTTAAAAACTATTAACTGTTACTTTCAAAACTACTTTTTTGTTGCTTAGAGGAATCAACTCACTTTTTACTGTGGTCATTCAAGAATCTACAAAAGGGATATTGTTCAGCATTTGTGACATCCCTGGAAACATTTTATTTGTTTCACAAAAACACTCAATGAACCTCCAATTATTCTTATGTATCTTTTTCACAGTGTGCATCAACCACAATTTTTCATTTCCTTTAGACATTCTCAGATTTTTCTGAACAAAGAACTGTATTTTTCACATTTGATACATTTTCACGAAATTTCCCAATTTTTCCTCTTCGAATACTTGTTTTTTTTTGGATATATATATGCACAACAATTTATTTTTCTTCATCTGAAATATGCCACAATCTTCATCAAGTATGAAGTTATGCTATGACCACAAAACTATTTTTTTAACCACTTATGATAAAATTTGACGACTCTGACACAAAGTCTTTTCAAACGGTAATTTTATGTTTAAATTTGAACTAGTTTTGTAAAACAACGTCAAGCTTTTGAAACTTTTAATTTTTGTCTAATTAACATGATGTTGATTAAGCCACAATATTGTTGAAACATGACTCAATCAACAGCATGTAGCAGGTTTGTCTATAGACTCCATGAAAGGGACTGATTACCACTCAAGCTTAGCTCGTTTATGCAAAACTTTATCAAATTCAAATCACAAATGAACGTTATAAACGACTTTATAGCACTATGATTATTATTTTTGCAATATATTTAGTTTATTATTTCACAAAATGCCTAGATATCTATATTATTTTGAGTAAGCCCTACACATAGTTATTTTTCAAATATTTAAATTGATTGTTTCTCATCACAATCATCAGAATGACAATTTTTTACTTCTTTTACTTATTTTTTTTTGAACCAATAATCAAACAGTGTGATAAATTCTCATACATAACATATCATTACACTGACACTTCCATATTCTTCTTCTTTTTATGAATTTTTAAAAACTTGCACTGTTTTGTAAAACCAAGAACAGAACTTGAGTTTGAAAGAAAAAAAAAAACAACAAAATTTGTTTTTTTTAATTAAAAATTTCGCGTGTGTCACACAATTTGTCATCAATTCTAATGCCTACCTAAAAATAAAATCTTATTAGTTATGTCCTTCAAGAGATTTACCTTAAACTCTCGATATGAAGAACCAAAAAAAAGGTTTAATGAATTGTTATGAATGATTTATGTGTGTAATATGTAGCAATTGAATGGTTTTGTTAAAGAAAATTCTTTCTTAATTTTGTGGAAAATTATGGATCATAACCATACAATACCAAAGAAAATTCCCAATTTAAGCAGTTCCACCACGAACGACCACAATAACCAAGTGATCTTCTTTAAGACCTTCCTCTGAAAGTCCAGAGCATGTGCGTTTCAACAATTCTGTTGAGAATTCGCATGGTGGGAAGACATACAAGACACCTAGAAATAAATAAGGCATGAATTAACGTTCAGATTAATTAAATCATTAGATCAGACATTGGATTAAATTTAAATCCAGCTATAAGAAGCTATAAAATTGACAGGAAGAAGTTTACCTGTTGCCTCAGTTTCTTTGTTCAATAATGAAATGACGCCAGCTGCCTCCTTTTGTTTCAAGTATGATACTAAATTGCGTAGCGGACGTGTCTGAATGTTTGCATCGTCACTGTTAATTGTTGGACCTGATAATCCTACGAAAATTGCCATTGAGGAAGAACTATTGATTCTCTTCTGAACATCTTCTAATTTTGGCTGATCTAAGCGCAATCTTTGAGTGATGCGTAAATTCTTAGTGCCATTTTCATCTCGCATTAAGCTTTCAACAATGTCAACATCTCCATCAGTTAAGTGGAACTTTGCAGGAAATAGAGAGCTCTTTAAGATCAAAGCACCTTCCCATTTAGTTGATGACTTTCTTGCGACTTCACTGAGTGTTCTCAATGATCCCAAAGTTCCATTTCTCTTCATGCCTGAATCAGAATCAGAATCTAAGCTACGGCGTTTTGGAGATCTAGAACGTGATCTTTCAATGCCTGGCTGACGAGCTGGAGATCGTCTTAAACGGTATGGATCATGAACTCCATATTCCATGTCATTTTGAGGACGTCCTCTCCATTCATCATCATGCGGTGGTGGAAATCTTTCAGTTGAATGATGTGGATGATAAGATCCACGATAAGCACCACGTCCGCGATATCCACCCCTTCCTCTATACGGCCTAGAATATCCAGAAGAATATGGATGATGATGAGGGGTATGTGAATAATGTGGTTCCTCATATGGTGCACTATTTCCTTCATATTCATAATCTTTACGAAATCCACCTTCAAAATCTTTTGGTTTGAATGTTTGTGGTGGAATTGGCTCGCCATTATCAGCAAAATCGCATCTTAAACGCTTATCGGGACCACCGAGAGGAAATCCTCTCATTTCTTTAACAGCAGCTTGTGCTGCATCGATTGTCTCGTATTGAATGTATGCATTATTATCCCCTTTAGTATATTCAATCTTTTTAATTGCTCCAAATCTATCAAATTCGCCTTCCAATTGAACTGAAGAGGTCCATGCACCTAATCCTCCTATCCAGATTTTTGTTGAAGCCGTAGCTTTTCCATAACCAATCTTACATTGGAATTTTCCAATATATTGTCCTGACAATTCAACCTTTGCACGGTGTGCCATGTCCAAATTTTGATAACGCACAAATGCGAATGCCTGAATAAAATAAATGATAAATTAATGGTCTATCGAGATTATAGATTATAACATTCAAATGATATTTTTAAAATAACTGTCAAAATATTTTTAAATTGGATTAAATCGGTTCGAACTTCATTTTATCAGTTTGGAAACGTTTGAATTTTTTTAAGTCGTTATTTTAGATCAAATTTGACAGTTATTATTCATGCAGACATGTTAAGTTTAGAGGAGCTTACATTTCCAGTTCCAGGCGGTGGTCTTTTGATGTCAATATCTTCAACAATTCCGTATTTACCAAAAATACGTTTTAGTTCATCGTCAGAAATATTAATTTCCAAATTTCCAGCAAATAAAGTTCGTGTTGCTAATGGATCGTCTTCTGGCTGAACATGATGTAAATAATTGGGAAATTTATCCTTTTTATTTTCAGGCTTTTCGTATGGAATACGTGGACGTGGGATATAAGCTCCTCTCGGGGCATAATGAGGTGCTGGATGCATTCCATGATGATGATGCATTGGAGGTGGACGAGGTGAATTAATATATTCAGAATGCATAACTGGTCGATATTCAGGGTGATGCATAGAACTCGGTGGATATCTTTCATAGGGTTCTGGATGATGATTTGGACGACGTCTTTCAGGTGAGCCACGAGAATAATAACGATCATATTCAGGAGCTGGTGGACTAGTTGTTCTTTGTCGTCTTACAGTTTCAAATACTGGCTCAACAATAGCAATCTTCTCATAAACCATAACTCTTGGTTTTGCTGCCTTTGCAGAACGAGCATCATCAGCAGTTCTAAAGCAGACATACGCAATTCTCTCACGATTCTCGTCCAATGATAAACGAACACTAAAGTCACCAAATTTTTTAAATTCACGATAAAGTGTTTCACGAATATACTCATCCGTTGCTTTAGGATGCAATGCACTAACACAGAGCACTTTATAAGTATGAGCAATTGGCGCATACTTTTCTCTTGGTGGTGAAACATAACGAGGAGGACTTCCATGTCGTCTTCTCATTCTATCAGGAGACATTCTTTCATCAGAACTTCCATCATATCTTCCTAATGATGCACGACGCTTACGAATTGGAGGAGATTCTCTTGATGTTGATCGTTTCATTTTATTTGGCACTCGTACTGTTATTCGTTCGGTACTACTCATCAATTTTGCACTCTTACTTTTCTAGGAATTTTCTTTTTTATATTATTTAATTAACTGGATTTGTCTGTCTATATATAAGGAACAGAAGAAGAAATATAAAACACAAAATTTAATTCATTTTATTTAAAAACAAAAAAAAAATGTTTATATGTATCAGGTACAAAGTGACTAAAATGTTTCGGAAATGAGACGAAAGAGAAATGCGAAAGTTCTACATCTTCAAACGGGAAAAAAGTACAGTCAACAAATCCAATATGGACGATTCCCATACAACTTCCTTAAAATCTTTTAATTCCACTAAAACCGGCATTTAGCACCAAACTTTAACTATTAATCATTTGTTATCCACAAACTTAACATTTTAATTGACAATAAACTCCATTTAAGGTGTAATTTAAAGCACTAAACAATTTTTATACAGGCACACATTCCTTATCAATTTTATAGAAATATTGCAATTTATGAACTGAAACTTCATATTCACAATGATTATTATTCGACAATTAAGTTAATTAAACCATTTTTAGTATCTTAAATCACTTAATTACAAGCAAAAATATCAACAAAATTCACTCACTTTTTCACAGTCAATTGACGTCAAGCTTTATGAACTTCCTTGCTTTTTAAGCTTCTCAGCAGTTATTCTGAACGCACTCTTGCTGCTTGGGATCTAATGTTTATTTTATAGAGTTTCCTAAGGAATAAATGAAGCTTCAGGTAGCTTTGACTCTCATCTTTACAAGTCGCTGATTGATTCAATGGTTATTAAGTTAATTAATTGAAGAATAGTTTATCACAACATTGTTCAGATCTCAGCACTAGACTATCCCTTCGTACTTTGTTTTAGCGGGAAAAATAGACAATAAAAACCAACAAGTTATAAATTAATTCAATAAAATGTCAAGAAGAGCAAAAGAAAATACTTTAAAGAGAACAAACTCTAGTGAGACATTAAAGGTTGTGTTTAAGCGTGTCGATGAGGATAAATTAGATCCAAAAAGCCCTGGAAAATGGAGTGTAAGATTAAATAAAATAAATGAGGATGATACAAAATTATTAAACTCAATTGAAAACATCCAGACATCCGATATTAATCAAGAAACTCCAAAGAAGAGATCAGAATCGACATATACACCGAGAAGATCAAGAATACTCAATAAAATTGATGAGGAACAGAATAGTGAAGTTTCACCATCAAAACGAACAAGAAGAACATCAATTTTAGTGATTGAAAATAATGCAGATCCATGCACACCGACGATAAAAGGAATTCCAGCAAGAAGAAAAAGTATATTAAAAACACCGACTGTCCAAAAGACTAATACACCAAGACGTAGCATTCAGTTTAGAGAAAATGTTGAGGAATGTGGATATGTCAAGAAAAGTGCAAAAGATAAACTAGCAATTGATGACGAAGAAGATACATCAGATATTGCTTTGACAAGAAAGAGACTTCACGTAGCAGCAGTTCCAAATAGCTTACCATGTCGCGAGAAAGAATACATGGAAATTTACTCATTTTTAGAAGCAAGCTTAACTGACAAGATCGGTGGGTGTATTTATGTCAGCGGAGTTCCAGGTAAATTATAGAATGCTTGTAGTTTACTCAATTTTTCATATAATTGTATTTAATCACTAATAGGAACTGGCAAAACAGCCACAACGACCGCAGTCATTCGAGCATTAAAAGCTGAATCGGAAAAAGGAAGAATTAACAAGTTTGACTTCGTAGAGATTAATGGCATGAGAACAACAGAACCGAGAAAGGCATATGTTGAGATTCATCGTCAGTTAACAGGAAAAACAGTAACAGCAGAACAAGCATACAATTTGCTGGATAAACGCTTCTCAACACAAACAAACAGACGCGGTAATAATCTCACAATTTTGTTAGTCGACGAATTGGACATTTTGTGTAATAAGAGACAAGATGTTGTATACAATTTACTCAATTGGCCTAATATGAGTTCCTCTCACCTCATTGTTGTGACAATTGCAAACACAATGGACTTGCCCGAAAGAATATTAATGGGAAAAGTCACTTCTCGTCTCGGTCTTACTAGATTAACATTTCAGCCTTATTCTCACAAGCAGCTACAAGAAATTGTTCTTTCACGTTTAAGTGGCTTAGATTGCTTTAATAATGATGCTATTCAATTAGTTGCTCGTAAAGTGGCTGCATTATCAGGAGATGCTAGACGTGCGCTTGATATTTGTCGTAGATCGTCAGAAATAGCTGAGACAGAAGCAAAGGAAGAGAATAAGAAGGCAATGGTTTCAATGTTACATGTTCAGAAAGCATTGAATGAAATGATATCATGTACGAAAGTTAAGGCTGTTAAAGCGTGCTCTAAATTTGAAAAATATTTTCTGCAAGCAGTTTGTATGGAAGTCGAACGAACAGGCATAGAAGAAGTTACTTTTTATGGAGTGTACAGGCAAATGAAAACAGTTACAGCATTGCATGGCTTTCCGCTTCCAACGACTGAAAAAGCACTCGGTATCTCGACTCGATTGGGAGCATCTCGTTTAATAATATCAGAACATGCGCGTAAAGATGTCCATCAGAAAATATTACTTAATATAAGTGCCGATGATTTTTATTATGCAACACAAGTAAACACTGAAGAATGAATCAACATTTACAGGAACTAGTTATTATAACAAATTTGTGAGTCTTTTAAATTTTTTGTTTATTATTGAGAATTACAAAGTTTTATAAATTAATTAAATTAAGTCTTAAGATTAATAGTTCTTTAAATAAATTTGTTTGTGTTGAGTTATTGAATGATTCTGAGTAAAAATTGACGCAATTTCATTGACAACTTTTGCTTGTTATAAATTAGAAACTGTAATTTCCAGGTGAGCAAGTAAAAAATGTCAAAAAAAATTCTTTCAAAATCACTCAACTTAATTTACAGTTCAGGTGTTACTGGACGTTTCTTAACGTACTTTGCGAAGTAATCAGGTCTCCAGCACTTACAACTTCCGGAAATTAAGAACCAATCATAGTAGAGCCTGATCTGGAAGCATCCGATCTCGTCAGTTCCATCGCAAATTTGTTGCTGTTTTCGCTTTTGAGCATTGTTTCTATGATCAAAATATGTGTCATTTGGGGCTGTTCCAGCTCGTTTCTGTAGGTATTCTTGATAATTTTGGAAGTCTTGAAGTGGCGGTGCTGTACTAGCTTGATATTCATTGCTCTCTGAGTTTGGATAGAATATTTCTGCAACAAGCATTGAAACCCATCTTGGTGAAGATAGACATCCACCATCTGTACATATTATTTTGTTTATTAGATCCATGTAAATAAAAAGCTAGCTATTGAGATTTACCTAAATAATGACATTTCGTCTGCAAACAACGCGTCACTTCGACAGTTTGAGTGAAATATCCTTCATATGGAATCTGCACAACATATCGCCAACTTCCTTGGAAATTCTTTGCAAACACTGGCGTCACATATTCAATTTTTGCAGGACTAATTAATTTAAATCGATTAGATTTAATGCTGATAAGATATATTTTGTCAATTAATGACTTACCAAGGTGTCGGTGGGCCTTCATATCTAGGAAGATTTGGATTAACAGTTTCCTCACGTCTCTCAGCAATTAATTGACTGTTAATAGGTTCACCTTGTATAGCTCGATATAAAGCACAAAAAACACCACCTCCATCACAGAATTTTCTCTGTCTTTGTCCTCGATTATTTGGTATCTCACGCTTATGTCTTGATCTTCTCGATTCTTCTTCCACATTCTCAAATTTCTCAGGTTCTGTCTCATCATGATGAATTTCTCCGTCAACTAAATCGTGAATGCCTTCTTCGTCATCATCTTCAAATGTTCTCTTACTTAAATTATCATCGCTTAGGTCATTATAATTCTTTTCGACTATCTGTGTCACTTTCGGTAGTGTGTCATCAGCCTTTAATATTGGCAGTGTTTTAGAGAGAAATTTTAACGTCTGGTTTCTTATTAACTCGCTATTTATGGTAAATTATGGACAGAGACAAAAAAGATAAGAGTCATTAGAATTTAATGCTGATGACACTAGTTTCACATATTTAACGGAATTATTTATAATTTTGTGGTTGAGAGCCATACAATTGTTTTAAATGATTGTGAAATTGTATGGTTTTGAAACATTAAGACGTTAAAAGATTTTAAATTGCAAAGGTATATGAAATGTTTCAAAACCATACAAATTCTAAACATGTGAATGGTTTTCATAAACAATTGTGTGGTTTTAGATCAAAATTTCAAATACTTCCGTTAAAAGCCCACGTGTGAAAGAAAATTAATTTTATATGTAACCAACTTACAATGGATATGCTTCCTGCATAACATTTTGCCCTGTAAATTAAAGAAATTATAACATTATAAAAGTCGCACCTATCTGCGAAAAGAATGTGATTTACCCATTGGATTTCTGGGAATTTTTCCTTTGTTTAGATCTCCACATAAATTATTAGGCGATACAATTGGTTTAGTGTTCTTAAAGTCTATGCAGTCTCGGTTGATTGACTGATACGGTGGGGGCTTTACTGTAGGAGGGAATGATGAGGGAGACTGAATGAATGCGTAGTAGCCTTCAGGAGTGTCATTTTCGCCCGATTCGACCTCATTATCTGCTTTTACGTTCGATAACAGTAAAATGATATTCTGCAAAAAAAAGAAAGAAACGGGAACAACAACAAGTCAGTCAGTTGTGTGTGAATATTGACATATGAAGATTCTTTTCAATTAGCGGATTACTTGCTTGAACAAATAATAAAGAATGATTTTTATGAATAAAATGTTCTGTTGAAAGAACAAGTCAGCAGATGAAGTAGGTCAAGGTAAAAATTTCTTTGAAATTGAATAAATTAAAATGAAAGTTTAAAGCTATAAAACATTTTATTGCTGTTATTGTTATTAAAAAATGCTCAAATGTAGTTCTATTTTTTCCCTTTTAATGCCGTGCTTTGAAGTCAGTAGGTCTATAGAGAGGCATAGAAAGAAACTTGTTTACAGCATAAAGTATGGAACGAATGGAATAGGCAAAAGAAAGAGATCAAGAATTTCTATTAATATTATTATTATCTAAGCTGGTATAGTTTTAACTTTGATTACAGTTATTTTGCGCACATCGAGAACGTCCATTAAAGAATGAAAAATAAAAGTTCCATCAAAGGTAGTTCACCACATTTTAAGCACCATTGACAATGAAAATTTGACACATTTCTTTCAAATTCCACCCACGTTCTAGTTTTATTAAGCTTTTATCTCCGCTTATGCTTAACCGTTACATATTTAAAATAGTTCCAATAATATCAACTACATTAATCTATATCCATCACATACCACAACGTATAGAAATTTCATAATCTTTTCAGTAATAATTCTTTAATTTGCTAATATTATTTTTATAATTTTTTCTAGACTTAATTTAATTCACGATAAATGCACAACACACGTCTTCATTCGATTACTTAATCTGAAATACTGTAGATGCTTCTGATTTTTTTTTCTGCTCAATTCGTTAGACTGACTGGAAGAAGAAAAAACTGTTATTTCTCTTGGTGTTGGTTTCTTCGACCTCTATACTATGTTTACATTCTGATTCTTTCAGTTTAACCACAAGCGAGCGAGAGAGAGAGAGAGAGAGATCAATTGTAGGAAAGAAAGCACACGGAGTTTGCCATTATTTTTTTCTGCATTGTTTATTGTATCAGCAATGCAAATAATAAATCTAGTCAAGGAGCATTAAAAATATTAAAATTAATTTGAACGAATTTCAAAAGAATTTAAAGAATTCTTACCGGTTTTCAAAAATTCAAAATAAACAAACTTTAACGGGGTTCAGAAATTCAAATTTTACAGAAGCATAAAATTCAAAAAAAATCGACCGTTTAATTTTGAAATCCTCCAACTTTTCTCGTCCACGACTAAATACAAGAGTACTTGCAAGAGTGTGAAACGAACAATGCAGAAAGAAATTTACTGTCTTTAACGAAAATACTTACTTCCACTTCTACATTAGTGGGAAAGAAGTGAGTACATTAAGAAGAAAGGTATTCAAATTTGCGATCTAAAGAAATTCCATGTCAAACAAAAGCGAAATTATAAAAACAAAATAAAGTAATAAAATTTCTTTCTTGCATGTCAACATGTTCCAGAATATAGCATAAATGTGTAGTGTGAAATACAATTTAATGAATGATATCACATTCAATAAAAATTATCGTTTTGCACAATGTTATTTCACACTCACTTACGGCTGTCTACATAATGAGGAATAACTATATAACTTATAATAAAAATAAGCATAACGGTCGCACAGTTCTTGTGCATTTATCAATTTCATATGTAGTAGGTTAATTCATAAATTTTATTTCAATTCTTCATATTCTGTTAGACTCAATATTCTGTGCATAATGTAGTAATTAATAAATTAAGCGGAATTACATTTTCTCCAAAATATCTTTCGTGAAATTCAAGTACCATTCATACAAGTCGTTCATATATTTATCATAAAAGTCTATCGAAGCTGATGTCGTTGAAAATATTGGAGACGAATATGAATCAGCTTCAAAAAATTCCTTGATAAATTTCTCAGCTATGCTAATTGCAACAAGAACATCTTGGCGTGATACAATCTTTCTTAAACTTAATTTTGCATGTGATTCGGCCATAACTTTTATTGCCTCATATCCCTTTTCCGAGAGTGCATCTGCAAGATAATCAATTACAGTTAAACCTTTGGTTCATATCATTTTTCAAAAATTAAATTAGTTCATGTGTGGTAAAGAGTCGTTTCTCTTATGACGTTTATCAATTCAGACCTGCTAAATCATTGAGATTACGAAACTTTGAGACAACTTCGAGATTTTAAACGTTTTAAGTAAATTGTATAAATAAACCCGATGATTAAAAAGTTAATCCTTGGATTAAAGGAAATTAAATGTCAAACAATGTACCTGGTCGAATCATTTTAGTAGCCATAAAGTAATTTTTAAGCATAACAACGGCACGAGAATCGAAAGCGACAGTCAGATTTTGAGCATAATTAATATACATTTGAAAATCATTGTCGGAAATTTGGAAATCGTTTGATCGATTAATTGGCTTTGTGGCTACTTGATTAAGAAGATCATCAATTATCTCTATTCTTTCTTCGCCATAAACTTCATCGATGATAATTGGAATTCCGAAAACGCTGAAAATAGAAAGAACAATGAAAAAATTATTTTCGAATCATTCATTAAAAATTGAATCGAGTACATACTTAATAAATTGACTAATTGATGCTAAATCTTTTTTAATCTTTGATGTATGATTCCAATAAGCCCATATTGTTGTATCTAGTTGATAGTTTCCTTGGATTTTATCAACTAAGATTGTTTTTGTCTCAATTTCACGTAAAAGTTTTAAGCTTGATTTTGGTGGAATTCTTTGCCAATTTCCGAGAAAGGCAACTCCATTCGTCGCCAAACTTATACCTCCACCTTCAATCATGTTGTTATTATTTACAGTTATGCCATCAAAGTTTGATGTCACGCGTAAAAATCGTTGAGCAAATTTTCCGATAGAGCTCATAATAATACTGGCATGTGCTACATCTTGTCCCACTCCTATAATATGCAACTTATTCTCTCGAGATGTAACGAGACTCATCAATAAAGGCATTTTTAAATGACTATATGCATTCATTGGAAATTTATCAGAACATAATTGACCAGCAATGATTGATGTGAATGTAAAGTCTGAATAATTCTCATTAATTCCTCGATATAACTCAATTATTGATTCTGGTAATGTTGTCAAGTCTTTATTGCCAAAATTTGGCACATTTAAAGTTAAAGGTTGAAATGTATGAATGCTTCCTTGCTGTTCTGGTGAATTTATGGAAGAATTAACTTCTAACCGAGTTTTGTTGTCATCACTCTTTTGAGATTTATAGATTATATCATCAGAGTCATTATCTTCATCAAACAACGTCTGTGTACTGTCACTTAAATCATGAATTTGTTCGAGTTGCGTTGATTGACTTCTATTCTTTTCGTAATTTTCGCTAAAAGTCGATAAAAATTCGTTGCTTGTATGTTTTTGTGAATCTAAAGAATTGGCAGGAAAGTAGAGGTCTTTTAACGTGTTTTGGACACTAGGAAATGTGAATTTAAAGCTTGACAAATTCTTTGATGACGAAGTTGCAAAAAAGTCGTCTTGAGAATTGTCATCAAAAAACGATTCTTCAATTTGCTGTGATTTCTGATTTGTGGATGACGACGACGATCGGTCGAAATGGTACATTATTAAATTAACAATAAACTGTAGACGTTGTAAAAGCTGTTTAAAACTTCGTATTTCCCAATAACAAGATATTCTTGACCTATTTTCAACTCCTGGCACAAATCGTCTGATAAGGCAAGGTAATAAAATTAATTAAATTACTTTGCGTGGATCCTAGGATTTAACAGATATCATACCAAATAGTCTTAATTCTAATGTATTGATTGAGAGATATTCTCGATAATTTAAGATAGAGTCAGCCTCAAAGACGAATGCAGAACAAAATTCAGAAGTCACACGATTTTCAGGTAACTCTATGCAAGGCTTTAAGCATTGCTTACACTTTGGAGCTTTGTGAGTTACAGTTCGATTTCGAACAATAATTGATAGAGAATTATAGCAACTGAGGCACTTCCAAGTTGATTGTCGTCTGAAATAAGACTAATAAGTACTTAATTAAAGTAATAAAGGAAGTAAGGCTTACATGTATTTAACAACTGGATCTGTTCGTTGAATAATACAGCGAAATGTTGATAAACTGCAATTTATATGATTTACTCGTAGACTGAATTTGTATAGTTCTAATGGTAAATCGAAGAACTGGAAGTTACAGATGATTTCGTCACTGGATATGTTAATTAAGCTGCTATTTCCACTTTGTTGTTCTAAATATGATTTTACCAAAGAATGCACAATTTCATGTACTGTTTCTAAGAAATAGTCAATTTCTCGCGTGATGAAGTTAAGCAATGCTTTATATGGAGACAAATCAATGTCAATTTATAGTTTCAATAAGGTTTCATAGAACTTACACTCTTTCTGAACTTCGTGATAATTTATTTTCAATGTGAAAATTATCGGAGAAATCACCTTCTTTTTCCTGTTATTTTCCAAGTGGACACTACACTGTTGCTTTATATCCCTCAAAAAGTCTTTGGATTCCAAAAATTTTAATATTAAGTCCTTTAATTCAACTAAATTAATTAATGTTTTGATTTCTGCCATTTCAACATCTTTCCTGTCAAAATAATACGTTACAAAACATTTTCAAAACATTTTCAAAATAATACGTTACAAAACATTTTCAAAACTAGTGTATCGGGTAGAAACCCAATTCGGATATATTCACACCGTACCATCAAAAGTCTTATGGATAGACCAAGATTTGCTCTGCATAAGTTTGAGGGTATTAAGCTAGCGTGTCAGCTGAGCTTTGCTCAGCATAAGTTTGAAGGTATAAAGCTAGCGAGTCAGCGCTCAGCATATATTTGAAGGTTTAAAGCAGTTTAAAGCTTAACAAACATTCTTTAAAAGTTTTTTAAAAACTTTTCATCCAAAGTTTAATTTTATAAAAATCACAGTGAACTTTTGTTTTAAAAAATTCGTGAGAAAGGAAAGTTTTTTGCTTTTTCTGAAGCAACGGCTGTTCCTCCCTTGCTCAAAAACAACGTGCTCTTCTATAGAGTAGCACGGATCAAATGTAGAAAACTAGAAGTCTCTACGATGTCTCGTTATTGAGATTTCTTGCTGATTAACTTGCATGCTTGTTTGCTTGCTTACAGAAAGCGTATTTTGCGATTTTCTCAGCAATGCCACAACCAATTTGAAATCTGTTTTTTGAAAATGATGTAAAATTTCAGACACAAACTTTTCTTCTCGAACCTTTAACAACCAATTTTGCTTCGTTAACTCACAAAATGCGAAAAACTGAATTTTCAATCTGAACCAGATACTATAGTAAAATCTACATACTGTGAACAAAATTACACTTTTCATGTCAAAAATTCTACACAAATGGTAAAAAAATTACTTCATAAAAGGAATTTAAACATCCAGTTTGAAAATTCAAATGAAAAAAATATATATCTTTATGAAGACAAAATAAATGAAAGATTTTGTTTCTCTATTAACATGTAGAATTGATCTATACAAAGAAAGATCTGTGTCAGAATTTGTCTGAGCCAGACAACTTGCCAGAATGCAAAACTGAATGCAAATATAGATATAAAATCGATATTTTTTTTGAAAATAGCCTACTATGATCGAAACCAAAAATGCTTTAAATTGCATTTTAAAACATATCTAGGTATTATAAATGATAAAGAATGCTAATATAGATATAAAATCGATATTTTTTTGAAAATAGCCTACTATGATCGAAACCAAAAATGCTTTAAATTGCATTTTAAAACATATCTAGGTATTATAAATGATAAAGAATGCTAATATAGATATAAAATCGATATTTTTTTTGAAAATAGCCTAATATGATCGAAACCAAAAATGCTTTAAATTGCATTTTAAAACATATCTAGGTATTATAAATGATAAAGAATGCTAATATAGATATAAAATCGATATTTTTTTTGAAAATATCCTACTATGATCGAAACCAAAAATGCTTTAAATTGCATTTTAAAACATATCTAGGTATTATAAATGATAAAGAATGCTAATAAAGATATAAAATCGATATTTTTTTTTGAAAATAGCCTACTATGATCGGAACCAAAAATGCTTTAAATTGCATTTTAAAACATATCTAGGTATTATAAATGATAAAGAATGCTAATATAGATATGAAATCGATATTTTTTTGAAAATAGCCTACTATGATCGAAACCAAAAATGTTTTAAATTGCATTTTAAAACATATCTAGGTATTATAAATGATAAAGAATGCTAATAAAGATATAAAATCGATATTTTTTTGAAAATAGCCTACTATGATCGAAACCAAAAATGCTTTAAATTGCATTTTAAAACATATCTAGGTATTTTAAATGATAAAGAATGCTAATATAGATATAAAATCGATATTTTTTTGAAAATAGCCTACTATGATCGAAACCAAAAATGCTTTAAATTGCATTTTAAAACATATCTAGGTATTATAAATGATAAAGAATGCTAATAAAGATATAAAATCGATATTTTTTTTGAAAATAGCCTACTATGATCGAAACCAAAAATGCTTTAAATTGCATTTTAAAACATATCTAGGTATTATAAATGATAAAGAATGCTAATATAGATATAAAATCGATATTTTTTTGAAAATAGCCTACTATGATCGAAACCAAAAATGTTTTAAATTGCATTTTAAAACATATCTAGGTATTATAAATGATAAAGAATGCTAATATAGATATAAAATCGATATTTTTTTTTGAAAATAGCCTACTATGATCGAAACCAAAAATGCATTAAATTGCATTTTAAAACATATCTAGGTATTATAAATGATAAAGAATGCTAATAAAGATATAAAATCGATATTTTTTTGAAAATAGCCTACTATGATCGAACCAAAAATGCTTTAAATTGCATTTTAAAACATATCTAGGTATTATAAATGATAAAGAATGCTAATATAGATATAAAATCGATATTTTTTTGAAAATAGCCTACTATGATCGAAACCAAAAATGTTTTAAATTGCATTTTAAAACATATCTAGGTATTATAAATGATAAAGAATGCTAATAAAGATATAAAATCGATATTTTTTTGAAAATAGCCTACTATGATCGAAACCAAAAATGCTTTAAATTGCATTTTAAAACATATCTAGGTATTTTAAATGATAAAGAATGCTAATATAGATATAAAATCGATATTTTTTTGAAAATAGCCTACTATGATCGAAACCAAAAATGCTTTAAATTGCATTTTAAAACATATCTAGGTATTATAAATGATAAAGAATGCTAATAAAGATATAAAATCGATATTTTTTTTGAAAATAGCCTACTATGATCGAAACCAAAAATGCTTTAAATTGCATTTTAAAACATATCTAGGTATTATAAATGATAAAGAATGCTAATATAGATATAAAATCGATATTTTTTTTGAAAATAGCCTACTATGATCGAAACCAAAAATGCTTTAAATTGCATTTTAAAACATATCTAGGTATTATAAATGATAAAGAATGCTAATATAGATATAAAATCGATATTTTTTTTGAAAATAGCCTACTATGATCGAAACCAAAAATGCTTTAAATTGCATTTTAAAACATATCTAGGTATTATAAATGATAAAGAATGCTAATAAAGATATAAAATCGATATTTTTTTGAAAATAGCCTACTATGATCGAACCAAAAATGCTTTAAATTGCATTTTAAAACATATCTAGGTATTATAAATGATAAAGAATGCTAATATAGATATAAAATCGATATTTTTTTGAAAATAGCTTACTATGATCGAAACCAAAAATGCTTTAAATTGCATTTTAAAACATATCTAGGTATTATAAATGATAAAAAATGCTAATATAGATATAAAATCGATATTTTTTTGAAAATAGCCTACTATGATCGAAACCAAAAATGTTTTAAATTGCATTTTAAAACATATCTAGGTATTATAAATGATAAAGAATGCTAATATAGATATAAAATCGATATTTTTTTTTGAAAATAGCCTACTATGATCGAAACCAAAAATGCTTTAAATTGCATTTTAAAACATATCTAGGTATTATAAATGATAAAGAATGCTAATATAGATATAAAATCGATATTTTTTTGAAAATAGCCTACTATGATCGAACCAAAAATGCTTTAAATTGCATTTTAAAACATATCTAGGTATTATAAATGATAAAGAATGCTAATATAGATATAAAATCGATATTTTTTTGAAAATAGCCTACTATGATCGAAAACAAAAATGTTTTAAATTGCATTTTAAAACATATCTAGGTATTATAAATGATAAAGAATGCTAATATAGATATAAAATCGATATTTTTTTTTGAAAATAGCCTACTATGATCGAAACCAAAAATGCATTAAATTGCATTTTAAAACATATCTAGGTATTATAAATGATAAAGAATGCTAATAAAGATATAAAATCGATATTTTTTTGAAAATAGCCTACTATGATCGAACCAAAAATGCTTTAAATTGCATTTTAAAACATATCTAGGTATTATAAATGATAAAGAATGCTAATAAAGATATAAAATCGATATTTTTTTTTGAAAATAGCCTACTATGATCGAAACCAAAAATGTTTTAAATTGCATTTTAAAACATATCTAGGTATTATAAATGATAAAGAATGCTAATAAAGATATAAAATCGATATTTTTTTGAAAATAGCCTACTATGATCGAAACCAAAAATGCTTTAAATTGCATTTTAAAACATATCTAGGTATTTTAAATGATAAAGAATGCTAATATAGATATAAAATCGATATTTTTTTGAAAATAGCCTACTATGATCGAAACCAAAAATGCTTTAAATTGCATTTTAAAACATATCTAGGTATTATAAATGATAAAGAATGCTAATATAGATATAAAATCGATATTTTTTTTTGAAAATAGCCTACTATGATCGAAACCAAAAATGCTTTAAATTGCATTTTAAAACATATCTAGGTATTATAAATGATAAAGAATGCTAATAAAGATATAAAATCGATATTTTTTTGAAAATAGCCTACTATGATCGAACCAAAAATGCTTTAAATTGCATTTTAAAACATATCTAGGTATTATAAATGATAAAGAATGCTAATATAGTTATA